GCCCCGCGGCTGAATATGCAGGACTATTTTTAAGTGGCTTGTTCGTACAAATTTTGGCAGAGGCCAAGAATCTGGACACTAAGGCTGCCTATCATGAGGTTTTATCTAGTACCCCTTCATGTAAGATTTCTGATCCTTTTATGACAGGTGAACTGTACAACTGAATGGGGACGTTAAAATATGGTTGGGACACAAGGTGACAAGAAAACCGTAATCATACACATTCTTTAGTGTTTAGGGGGAAAGCAGGTAATAGCAGCAATTTCCTTTGTACTTAGTAAACGTGGCTCATCCACGGGGATACTGTCCCTGCATTTCTCAGGAAGAGCCACAACAAATCAGTAAGGGAGCTGCCGCTGGCCGTCAGAGACGCTTGGGTCGGCAGCAAGGCTAGGCAGACATGGCATCCTCTTACCTCACTGTAGGAGGAGTGAAAAGAAAAGCAAGCTCTGTACGAACTCTCCCCAGTCCTAAAGGGAAAGGAAAACACAATTAAAAGGTTACTGAACAAAACTGAATGAAGTTCTAAGTGTCCATTTAGGCTATTCCAGTAGGATGTCACCTTGCAGACAAGAATTTCTTCCTAGGATAGGAGGGAACTCTTTCCAGAAATATAAATATTTGCAGGTATATTGAGGAAATGACCCCAATGGTGATCGCTGTGGGGTTCCTCTATGCCACCAAGGGCTCTGTTCCCCCCGACATCCCAGGCAAGATAACTCAGTCTCCAAGAGTCTTGTCTAGCCGGGAGGGCCCACCCCCTCCCAGGACACGCTGGCCAATGGCTTCGGCGTCGCACAGGTTGAAAGCGGTACCTCCTCAGTGTAAGTGGAATTTAAATTTGAGAAGTTACCTTCCTCTTGGGCTGCGGCTAGGCTGCATTTAAACTCAATAAGACGATTTACCTTGAGAGCAAGGTTTCTCTCCAAAGCCCTATGACATCGCCTTCTTACCTCACGATTACATCTGTTTTTCTGGTTCTTTCTCCAAACCACATCGTGGAAGGCTTAATGCTGATTGTGTGGAGTGGAATTCTATTTTTGGAAGTAATGCCGCAGGGTAATTTATTCCACTGAAAATATTCCTCTGCCTACAAAGGATTTTAAAAACACAAAAACAGTTCAACATTTTCAACAAATCTGTTTGTAGGCAAGGTCTCAAAAACAAATGGAAGTTAGTTTTCAGATGTGGGGGAAAATGTAGACATGAGGAAACAATCAGATAATTCCAAATTATATGGCCTAGACCCTTGAAAAATACCAGTGTGAAGAAACAAGCTGGGGTCGTGATCTGTATCAAAGGACACTAAAGCAGCCGAGTGAACGCTATACATTCATTAACTCCGGGACCCCTGTTCCGCTCCTTGAGCTGGAAGGGACACTAAGGGAACAATAGGAGAAATCTGAATAGGGAGCATATACTATCCAACAGCATCGTGTCCGTGTGCTGTATACAGGACGTTCTCCTGTATAAACCACAATACAGTTCCCGTAGGGAGCATACACTATCCAACAGCATCGTGTCTGTGTGAAATGGGAAATGCGTGGGAACTGTATTGTGGTTTATACAGGAGAACGTCCTTCTCCAGTGACACGTGCTGAAGGTTCGAGAGGTGTCATGAAGTCTGCAGCTGACTCAAAGGGTGGGGTGGGGGGGTCCGGTTACACAGAGAGAGGAGGGTGACAGTGCTCACGTGGCAAAGTGCTCACAAACCGGGGGGTCCGGTCTCCAAACTTGACTTCGTTTTAAGGTTTTTCAAAATAAAGTGGGAGAAAAATAATAACAAAAGTATTTTTAAAAGGTTGAAAAACAAGGGGACTATTTCCCAAAGACATTGTGTTTAGAATGGGAACCCTTCAAAACCACGAGCACTCCGTCCAAATCACGTGTCATCAGGCACCTCTGGCACTGCTCCCGAGGCTGCGGGTGAGGTGCCACAGGCTGTGAGCTGTGTCCTGTGCGGTACTTTTAAGGGTGCATGACCTAAGAAATCCCTTAAAACGCTGCATGTAGCGAGTGGTTCAAGACAAGTAGCCATGTGGCAAATGACAGGAGTTGCCGTTACAAATTAATCTACTTTGTGGGATGAAAGAAAACTCAGAGCAAAAAAAAAAAAAAATTGGACAATTAAAAGATGTATGGGGTGTGGGCAGGGGGCAAAATACAGTTCCAACAGAAAAAGGACAGTTTCATTGTGTATCTACATTGTTTTCATCCATCCATGAATTCACTGGGTGGGGGGAGCATATGTGTACACACACAAACTAAATGATGAAATAAATTCGTGAACGCGAGTTATAATGTGTGGCCTACCAGTCACCAAAGTAATCTTTTCTCTTGTGGTCTGAAGTAGAATATTCCATGCTGTGGATGAGAATTCTGGTTTTTTAAATTATGCTTTCTTTAGGGCTGAGCAACTTTATGTTAGGTTTTTGGCCGATAGAGGCAATATTACTACCATGATGATTATCTAAATGTAGAAAGGCAGTGTTTACTGAAATAAAAATTACTCAGGCATTTAAATGCTGAGATATTTTAAAATTTGGAGGAAAATTATGATCACATATACCACTGCATTTGAAGATGACTAATTAGTATTGGTGATGTTGAATGACTGCAGAAATTAAATTTTTAAAAAATGTCAAAATTGAATACCTGGCACTAATAACAGAAGGGCATTTAATAAGGGAGCTCAAATGGTGGTGGCATTAGAAAATGAGTGACAAGTGAGTTGCAAAGACACTAGAGTTGCAAAGACACAGTTATTTGAAGTGGGTCCAGCAATACATCTTACTATTTCAAAACTCTAAGCAGTTGTACCTATTTATCTCAAATGAGAAGAAAAATAGTTCATAAATGTGCTCATATGTCTCAAAAATAAACAGCAATAGACTATGAGTGTATTCTTAAGTTACAAGCTCTAACATTTTACTAATTTTGTTACAAATTATTCATCACATAATTCTTTACAAATAAACATGTGTCAAATGCATATGAATACATGTCATTAAAAAAAACATAAGTATCTATTTACTAATTACAAAGTTTATGGTAATGGTGTCCAGTAACGTATAGTTGCATGACCTTGGGCTAGTAACAGGTTCTCAGCCTTAGTTTTTACATCTGTAAATTGAAGAGCCTAGAAAATGGAATTTCTGAGGTTCCTTCTGGACCTAAAATCTTGTTTTTCATGGATCCCACGAACAAGCGGAAAAGCAGTTCACCGTACCTTTGGATGGCGACACGCATGGATCTGAGTGCTGCGGTCTGTCGTGAGATGATGGAGAATGTCAGGCATGTTTCGAAACATGTCTAGTTTATCCACGTGAACCTGAGGAAAATGACACATAGGAAAATTATTTGAATTGTGTTTCCCATAAAGGGTAATTATGCAGCAGAAAATCATCCCATTAGGGAACTCTTTCTTCTTTCTTGAAACCTAGTTTTTGGCTCTTTCAATGCACATTAGTATTCCACCAGGATGTCAACAGGTGAAGGACAAAGGTCACTGTTACCACCTATTGTTGGTGGTAATAAACTCTGGACACTCGGTTGCTAGATTTCACTGGATCATGCTAATACTGTCCTCCGATCCATCAGAGTCACTCAATTAATATGTACTGTGCAACTACATGTATATCAAGCTTTATTCTAAATATTGGGCATACAGCAGTGAATGCAGCAGACAAAAGCAAGCAAGGATCACTTGTGAAGACACACACACAGCACGCCCCTGAAGGGCAGCTGGCGGGGGAGACAGTGGCAGTAGGAAGCAGAGACGGGGTCCTCCCTTACCACACCCCTCTGTATTGGATTCGAAGGGGGAGGGCAGATGCAGAAAAACCAAAACACCTTGGCCACCTTTAGGATTTTAGTGCTAATACATTCTGAAGTGTTAAAACCGATGCGTATGTTTTACCTAAAGCTTCTCTTCTGTGTACTTCAAAGTAAGTAACATGTACAGTAAGTCCTCCCTTAACGTCATCAGTAGCTTCTTGGAACTGCAGCAAAGCAACATATAATGAAACCAGTTTTACCACAGGCTAATCGAAACAAACAAGAGTCAAGTCCCTACAGCATCTCACTGACCTAACAAAACTGTCCTCGTAACAAAATGTTACTCAAGGACCTGCTATACCTAAATTGATAATAGGATTACAAAATGGCACCGAAAAAAGCATTCTCATTTTGAACAGAACGAATGAGAATGCCGTCAGGTTGCTGTGGTAATTAACACCACGCCGGAGAGAATCCCAGCATAATTGCTTGCTCATCCTGGGGCCTCTGTTCACTGTTTCCTAAGGACTAAGAAGTAACAGTGAATTTGCTTTTCTGGCCTCCCTACAAAGGAGATAAAAGGGAGTAAATTCTGAGATGCGTAGAGAGCGATACAGAAAACTTCATCCTCATGAAAATGAAGAAGCCTGAGAAAGGTGCCACAGATCATCACTGAGGTCGCTTAATCAAAAACCGCATTGTTCCCCCTTTTAAAATTCACAGTCTGAGACTGTTCTGTCTCCTTCAGAGGGGCTAAGAGATCTGACAGAGGGCCCCCCGCGGGGTGGCTCTAAGGTCACCACTAGGGTCTGCCCTCCCTCCTCAGCCCCTGGTTTTCCTGCAAGGCGTCCAGAGCAGAAGCAGTCTTTTCCATTTCACATTCCACTAAAATGTACAAAACAAATCTGGGACTGGTAAGTAGTTGCTACCTGTATATTTCTGCAGAAGAGGACATGAGGGAAAAAATAGTGGATAGTATTGTAGATAAGTGTGTGTGTGTGTGTGTGTGTGTGTGTGCACGCACAAACAATGCAACATTGCTGTGATTTTAATTTAAAAGGCCAGTTTAACACTAAAAGTCTCAGAATGAAACAAATCCTTCCCCAAATGGAGAGCTGGCAATTTTATACCAATACATTTGGACAGAAGGATTTAAGAAAGGAAGAAATTACAGAAGAAAGGACTTAGGAAATAAAGATTTAAGAAGGGAAGGAGGGAGGGAGAAATCTTAAAATTTCAAATGTACAAAAACTAGATCTTTGTAGTTTACTAAATTATATTGTCTAAAATTGTTAAGTTCTTGGCACAATTTTTACTTGGGGGACCTAAATTAAATTAAAAGACACAAACGAAGTAGAACTTAAATGTCCAACTACTTCTAGTACTTCCTTTTGTTCAGGGAGGAGAGGAAGCCACAGGCTCCATGTGGGGGCAGCAGGATGGGAGCTCTGCTCAGCAGCCACTCACA